GCTGCCCCCGGGGCTGGGATGCTGCCCGGGGTCCCCAAGGAGTGCCACGGGATGCCTGGTGCCACTGCAGAGGAGAGGAGAGGAGCACCAGCAGGAGATGAACGCTGCTGCAAGTCCTGTTCTTTCCTTGTCCCTCCCCCTGCTCCAAACCTTGCACTGTCCCTGCTCCAAACCTGCCTGAGGCAGCTGAGGGAGGCCTCGGGGCAGCTCTGTGCATGCTCTCTGCTCTGACTTTGTGCCTCACCTGTGCTGGAGCCACACCTGTGGGCAGCCCCTTCCCCTGCACGGGGTGTGGGACTGGCAGGAAAAGCTGCACCCCAAAACTCCCACCGTGCTGCAGCCCATCCCTTGCTGCTGTGGGCAATGAGAATATTGGAGAAACACCCCTGGGAGCTGCCCCAGGGTCACTGCAGGGCCAGGCTGTTTGCACTCCGTGGCAGTGCCCTCTGCAGTGCCCTGGCCCCGATGCCAGCCCTCCCTGCACGCTGCTGCCTCTTCTCATCAGGTCCTGAATGCGACTTTTGGTGCTTGCTGGTGGCGTGCTCTGTTCCATTATGGCATGTACAATATTAATATCTTTATTTTTCTCCACACAGCCGCAGCATGAAGGAATGTCCCATATTAATCCCCTAATTTCAATTTGAAATTAATAACTATCACAACACTTGGAGCATCCTTTAATCCATTGATTGCTGCTGGCTTGGTTCCAGCAGTGTCACTAATTACATTCTGCCTGCAAAAAAAAATTCTCATTGCTGGTGGCTTTTCTTCTGAGAGCTGCTGGCTGGAATTCCTGTCCTGAGACACTTTTTAATGCTAATGGAATTGTGTAAAATGACTGAGCATCACTGCTGGCTGCAGGAGAAAGCCCTGGGCTTGCTGGGGGGCTGTGTGTGGGGCACAAACTCTCTGTTTTGGGGTCCCTCTGGCACAGGACAGACTCAGTCCCAACCCAGCAGCTTTCCCAGGTCGTGTTTGCTCCTCCATCCCACCCCGAGCCTGCCAGCAGCTGAGGGTTTGTTCCTGCAGGAGCTGCTCTTGTGTTACAGGTCTGCTTGAAGGGCGTTTCCAGAGGGCTGGGAATAAATTAAAACAGCTTTAATCCAACTCCTTTTCAGCCAGTGTATCCAGAGGACGTGGAACACACCAAAACCAGCTTGAATTCCCTCATTTCAGTGACTGTGATGACATGAGGCTGCCTCGGGTGGCACAGCTGGCTCCTGGGGGACAGTGGGAGCTGTTGGAATTCGGGGTGGATGGAATGCATTTCCTTGGGGGATTTTTACTTGAGTCTTCTGAATCTCCTGGACGAAAGGTGTCTGGAGATGCTCCTGAAGGCTCTGGGTGATCATTCTGGAATTTCCTGAGCCCTGGCTGTCTCTCAGCAATCCTGCATCCAAAGCTGTCAGCATTAAAATGGAAGAGAAGGGGTTAATGAAGTCGAGGATTAGGTCCTTAATCTGTGCCAGGAGTGCAAGAAATGTAGATTTTTTTTTTGATCACATGCTAGAAGAGCCACAAAGGACAAACACGAGGGTTTCCCCTCTCAGGAGCTTCTCTGAGCCCTGCTCCCCTGGCTTTCCTTCCAGCCCTGCATGACCCCGAGGATCAGGTGCTGGCTTTGAAAAATGCTCCCATTCTCCAGGAAATGAAGAGCCCAGGTGCTGGTAAAACTCTTGGTGTTTTTTTTTCCTGAATTGTGTTCCATTCCAGGGCCAGGTCTCTGTTTCAGGCTGGGTCTCACACGAGCCCTGCCCGGGCACGGCGGGGCTGTGGGAAATGGATTTACAGAAATTCCCTGGGCCAGGGGGGCTGTGCAGGCTGCATTTCATCCTGGTCCCTCTGAGCAGGGTGGGACTTGTGTGGCTTCACTGTCCTCAGGCTGGGCCCTGAGGAGCTGGGAGCTCAGAAGGAATTCTGCCTTCCTTGGCTGGAACCAGCCCTGTGGTGTTTGAGACAGACATGGGAGGTTCTGGTTGGTGCAGTGCTCATCTATCTGCTTTTTAACCTTTTTTGGGGTTCAGTGAGACTGGGCTCACCTCCCTTTCCCCTGGGAGCAGTGCTGGGCTGGGGTGTGGGGCAGGACAGGAGGAGGTGACACGGTGCTGTGACAGGCACCTGCCTGTGCCACAGTGGGGAGCAGCCCTGTGCCCGGCCAGCAGTGACCTCTGCTGGGGCTGGGGACACTGGGATGCTGCTCTGGGAGCCGAGGTGCTCCTCCACCGGGGCCGAGGGCAGCTCGGGCTCCCTTGGTCAGAAACAGCAGAAAAAATGGTGCAGAGGCTGGGATTGGGGCTGGGATTGGGGCTGGGATTGGGGCTGGGATTGGGAGTCAAACCTCGTGTCTCCTCACATGGGGAGTTCCCAACAGCAGTGACAGAGGCTGGGATGTGGGGCTGGGATAGGGATTGGGATTGGGGCAGTTTTAGAGGCTGGGATGTGGGGCAGTGTTAGTTAGAATTGGGATGTGGGGCAGTGTTAGTTAGGGGCTGGGATGTGGGGCAGTGTTAGTGGCTCAGGGCAAGCCCAGGCTCCCCTCCCTGGCCAGCCCTGAGCTGGGCTTGGAGCATTTCAGGGGGGTAAACCAGAACTTGTGCTCACGTGCTCTTCCCTTGGAGTGTTTTCACCCCTGATAAAAGTCTCTCAGTGCCGTGGCAGCAGGCCCAGGGGAGAGCAGCCCTGTGCAGGCTCTGTCTGTGACCCCCAGGTGCTGTGGGCTCTCAGCTCCTCATCCTCACTTTAAGCCCCAAAGCATGACCAGGTTCCCAGTTAATGCAGAACTGCCTCAGCCCAGCTTCCTACCCAGCTGCAAAGTGAAAACTTCTGGTTGAAGCCATTAAAAAAAATTAAAAGGTTATATCAGTACATTCTGTCTCACAGTGGGGGTAAATTCATGTAGTTACAGCTCACCCAGTGCTTTGTAAGATGCAGAGTGCAGCCTGTGTGTCAGAAAGCTCTTTTAGTAGTTGGTGGGGTGAATTCCAGTCATTAAAAACGATTTTCTGTGTCTTTTCACCAAATACCACGTTGCTTTATCTCCCTGTGCTGTAAAAAGCATCTGAAAGTGAAATTCTGAAAGGAGAATTTTCATTGTGAGCGTTGCTACATGACAAACCACTTCCTTAGAGTTTTGTCCTGAGCTGTGGACAATGCTGCCTTTGAGCTGAGCTTCTTGGGCACTTCCAGCCATGCCTGCTCCCCGGGCAGCTGCAGATTCCTTGCGGCTGGAGGAGGATCGGGTGCTCGGGCAGGGACAGCTGCTCCCTGCTGCACGGAGGAGGCAGCAGCAGGGGCCAGGAGTGCCACGGAGCTGCTGAGAAAATGGGAGGGGAGGGGATCTTCAGTAAGAATTATTTGCCTTTTGTCGCTCAGGTTTGCAGCTCAGACTCTGAGTGTGCCCTGCTTTGAGTGGTGACTTCTGTGTGCAAACTTCTCTTGCTCCTGCTTCAGAAAACAGGGAGAGACCCGGCAGAAAATGAGAAAATCCTCTGCCTGTTCTATTTCTGATTGGCAAGGCAAAGATCCATTTCTCTGGGTTTCAGCTCAGATGGTGACCTCACAAGCCTTTTTTATTTTTTTAGAACTGAGGAGAAAGAGAATCAAGATAAATCCAGAACTTGCATCTCCACTGACTTGTGGACTCAGAGATTCCTATCTGGCAAGGCTTAATTAAGCTGTGCTGTGGAGCCACATCCATCACCAAATAAAAGCAGCACTCAGCAGCAGGGTGTGCGCTGACGTGGTTTGTCTGGATGTCTGTGGAGGTGGGGCTTGTGCTGCAAAAGTGGAGAAAAGGGAAACAGGGAACAAGGAGGAAGCCAAGAATGTGTGAGAGCAACAACTGGGAATGCAGCCCTGACAAAGCTTTGCCTCCTGGGTTGTTGAAAGAAAGCCTGCAATAGTGATAAAGTTAAAAAAGCTGTCGGTGCCAGGTTGGGTGTGAGGCACGTGCAAGTTGCTGCCGCTTCCTTTTTCTATAAAGAACACTCAGGGGGCATCACGCTCCGGAACAAATTCCTGAAAACGTGAAGTCTGCTTGGCTGAAGTTTGAGCGAGTGCTAATTAGGGTACGTTGGAAGAAGATCTCGTTTCCAGAGGCAGCGGCTTGTGGATAAACCTGAGGATAAATCCGGGGCTCGGGCTCAGCAGGGAGAGCTGCGCGCTGTCCTTGGGAGGGAGGTGTCGGTAGGAGACAGCAGCAGCCCGGGGCTTGGCTCCCTCCCGCTCCGGCTGCTCTTCGGCCGGGCCGGCAGCTTTGAAAGAAAAAAAAGCAAAAAAAGGGTTTTCTGCGCTCCGTGCGCTCCGGCGGGAGCGGCTCCCGGTCCCGCTCCTTATCCCGGTCCCTGTCCCAAATCCGGTCCTTGTCCCGATCCCTGTCCCTGTCCCGGTCCTTATCCCGGTCCCGCTCCTTGTCCCGGTCTCTGTCCCGGTGCTTGTCCCGGTCCCGGTCCTTATCCCTGTCTCGGTGCCGATGTCTGTCCTTGTCCCGGTCTTTATCCCTGTCCCGGTCCTTGTCCCGATCCGATCCTTGTCCCGGTCCCTGTCCCGGTCTCTGTCCCGGTCCCGGTCCCGGGGGTCCCGGGCAGCGAGGGGCCGGGCCGCTCTCACATGACGGCGGGGGCGGGCCGGGCCCCTCTCCTCTCCTCTCCTCTGTACCCTCGCTGTCCCCGTGTCCCTCGCTGTCCCTACTGTCCTCGCTGTCCCGCTGTCCCCGCTGTCCTTCGCTGTCCCACTGTCCCCGTGTCCCTCACTGTCCCCCCTCTGTCCCTCGCTGTCCCTGTGTCCCCCCTATTCCCTCACTGTTCCCGCTGTCCCCTCTGTCCCGCTGTCCCTCATTGTCCCGCTGTCCCCGTGTCCCCCGCTATCCCCCGCTGTCCCCTCACTGTGCCCTCTCTGTCCCGCTATCCCCGCTATCCCCTCTCTGTCCCGCTGTCCGTCTCTGTCCCCTCTCTGTCCCCGTGTCCCACACTGTCCCGGTGTCTCCCTCTGTGTCCCTCTGTCGGTCCCTGTCCCTCTGTCCGTCTCTGTCCCTCTGTCCCTCTGTCGGTCCCTGTCCCTCTGTCGGCGTGCCCATGCGGGCCCCGCTGCCCCCCACGCGGCTGCTCTCTGCGGAGCGCGGCGCGGTGCTGCTGTCGTGCGCGCTGTCCTGCGCGGGCTCGGCGCTGCTGCTGGGCTCCCAGGCGCGCTGGCCCGAGCTGCGGACGCGGCCGCGGCAGCTGCTGCTGCACCTCAGCCTGGCCGACCTGCTCTCCGCCCTCTCCTACTTCTACGGCGTGCTGCGCGACTTCCAGGGCACCTCGTGGGACTGCGTGCTGCAGGGCGCCCTGTCCACCTTCGCCAACACCAGCTCCTTCTTCTGGACCATGGCCATCGCCCTCTACCTGTACCTGAGCATCGTCAGGGGCTCGCCCGCCGGCCCGGCCCTGCTCTGGGGCTTCCACGCCGTCAGGTGGGTGCTGTGGGCTGTGCTGGGACCCCCAGGCGCCCACCCTGCGCTGGGATGGAGCCGCCGGTGTCCCTTGAGTGTCTGCACTTTCCCTCTCCTCTCCTTCCCCTCAGATCCCTTTTAAACAGGGATCTTGCTGTCTTTTAACCAACCAACCCTGCTTGTTCCCCCTTCCCATCCCAAGTGAACAGCTGGAGACGTGGAAAAGCTGAAGTTTTGTTTTGTTCAAGGTCACTCAGAAAAATCTCTGGCAAGTTGTGATCGCTGGAAGCCCTGGCTGCTGCTTTCCCCGCAGTCTGCTCTGGTGCTCTAAGAAATACCATAACAAACCTTGTGTCTGTGGTACCTGCCTGCTGCTGCCCCAGCTTCCGTGTTTGGGATCTGTTTCCACAGGTCCCACCTTCCCTGTCAGCCGGGTCTGTGGATCCTTCCCCTCTGCCCAGGCAGGTTGCTGTAATTCCACACTCACAGGGAATTGTTGCCCAGAGTGATGAAACTGCTCGGGAAGCTCTGAAGGTTGTTTTGGCATGTTTGATTGAAAGCAAGACAAACCAGTCCACAGCGCAGCTTTATGTCTCACTTTCTGCTATTTAGGGCACTGATTTTCCACATCATGTTTAGTAAAAGCTTTCATTATGCAATTGGAGCTTGTGGAATCATGTGCTGCGTCCACGCTGAGCAAAACAGTGATCCTTCAGTCCCCCGTACTGCCAAGCTTCTGCAGTAAATTATAACAGCAGCAATCTGCTTTCAAAGGGAGTAAAAAAAGCCCTCAGGACAAGTAGAGAATTTTCTTTGGTTTCTTAGTCAAATGTTTGACACCTTTTAGTTTCAAACAGCAGAGTTTGGCAGATTGCAGAGAGCTGAGTCCAGGTGAGGATGGGCCAGGGAGACTTTGGGGCTGAGTGTGAGCCAGGAGAACTTCAGTCCCTGCCCTGCCGGAGCTCTGCTGGGCTGGGTGAGGAGCGAGGGGCTGCACCAGGCAGCCAGGTGCTGCTGGAGCTGGGGAGATGCACTGCAGGAGCATTTCTGCTGTTCCATCTCCAGGAAAAGGAGAGTGGCACTAGAGCTGTGGTGAGGATGGTGCTGGGGAGAGCCACGTGTTGCTTAATGGATGTAAAAACCAAGTCTGGCTCCTTCCTGGGCGGTCTGGCTCCACCAGGCACATCAAAGAGCTTAGGCAAATCTGGCCTAGTTGTAATTTTGCTGTCTGCTAATTGCTTGTGAGGCTTTTGTCTGTGCTTCAGTTTCTCCATGTGGTTTAATGCTCCTCAGCCTTGTCAGCTACCAAGTGTGGAGAGAAACAGAGGCACTGGAACAGTGCTGGCTGCAATCTGTGCACTCCCTGGAAGCTGTGCAAATCCTGGGGGAGAGATTGCTCTACCCCTGCAGGGAGAGATGCTCACACTGAGCTGCTCTGGGTGAATTTGTTCGGTTTATTTTCGGTTCTTTACAGTGAAAATGAAATGCCATCTTCAGTCCTTGCTGCTGATCAGCACCATCTGCTCTGTTTAAAGGCTGTTGGGCACCTGTGATCAGGTTCTGCTCTGTAAGTGCCTCCTGTTCTGTGCAGAGCCAGTGCTCAAAGCTGCTTCTCATTTATGGGGTGTCTGAAAAGCCAGAGACAACAAGTGAGGGCGTGTTCCCTGCCCATCCCTCGTGACACATCACCCTGCTTACCTGAGAAATGAAATTCTGGACATAATGCTTGGAGATGGAGCTGACTAAACACACGTTGGAAGTCAGAACCTGGAATTTTCCTGGGGGAAATCAGGATGTGACAGCGGCTCAGGGCCGTCAGACAGGTCTGTGCCACAGGGACTCATTCCTGGGGTGACACATCCACCAGCTCCAGGCTGGGAGCTGCAGCCTCCGCTTGGGTTTTAAACCTGGTGGGCTTTGAAAACAATCCCACAGCCAGCTTTGGAAGCACTTAGGTGGCTGCCAAGTGTGAGTTGTGGCATGCAGCGTGCCAGTGGCCAGGCTGCCCCAGTGCTGCTGAGTTCCCAGGGCTCAGTGTCATCTGCTGGGAAACATCACCTTGGCTGGAGAGAAATTCATCCAGACTGGGGTGAGGAATGGGCCAGGCAGAGCCCAGCTGGGGGCTGTTTCCTGCTTGGCTTTGATACCAATTGCTGACAACATTTTGAAGGGTTTTCATGTCATGGTCAGGCTGTGCAGATCATCATAACCATAAATATACTCACTTTAAAAAAATCTATTACATATGCATGCTTATATATTAAAATATGTTTTATATATATACACATTTATAGCCATGCATAGCTATTCATGTTATATATGAAAATGTATATTATATATATAGATATATATATATACACATTTATAATCAGGCATATCTATTCATGTTACATATGAAAAAATATATTTTATATATATATATATATACATTTATAACCAGGCATATCTATTATATTATATATTTTAAATATATATTTTTAATATATACACATTTATAAACATGCATATCTGTTCATGTTATATATTAAAAAATATATATTTTTTTAATATATACACATTAATAACCATGCATATCTGTTCATGTTAGATATATATTTTTTTTAATATATACACATTAATAAATATGTATTATATACATAGATATATATACATATTTATAACCAGGCATATCTATTATATTATATAATTTAAAATATATATTTTTAGTATATACACATTTATAACCATGCATATCTGTTCATGTTTTATATATATATATACACACACATTTATAACCAGGCATATCTATTCATGTTATATATTTTTAAAATTACATATATATACCTACACATTTAAAACCATGCATATATATTATGTTATATATTAATATATATATTTAGAACCATGCATATCTGTTCATGTTATATATTAAAAAATATATATTTTTTTAATATATACACATTAATAACCATGCATATCTGTTCATGTTAGATATATATTTTTTTTAATATATACACATTAATAACCATGCATATCTGTTCATGTTAGATATATATTTTTTTTAATATATACACATTAATAACCATGCATATCTGTTCATGTCCATGGAGTGCCTGGGGTCCTCTCATGCACTGCTGCTCTCCATGGGCTGCCTCCTGCAGGATGGATTGGGGCAGATTTGGAGTTCTGGTTACAAACTGTGCTCAGAGCTCCTTCCCGGGCTGCCTGGGCTGTGCAGGAATCTGATTTTTCCCTCCTTCCAGAGCACAAATTCCTGTCCCCAGGAGCTGCCTGCAGGCAGGATGGCTCCTTGGCTAACCTGTGCAGGCAGGTGACACAAATCACCTGCTTGTGAGAGCCTGCAGGGGAAAGCAGCTGTGCAGAATAAATCAGAATGTGCTTATTGGGCAACCTGACCCCAGCAAACCAGGGCAAGTGGAGCTGAGCACTGCTGGAGCTGCAGGGTCCTCACCTTGCCTTGTTTTGTGTGGCTGTGCAAAGATCTGCTGGGCTGGGTGATTTTTTTACTCATCCATCACCAGGAGCTCTGCTGGAGGGATAAGCACTGCTGTGGCTCTTACAGGGTGGATTTCCAGCCTTTTACAGGACACAGGAGTCCTCTTCCCTTCTCTCCCAACCGTTTGCATCCAGGTGTGCTCTGCAGAGGCCCAGCCTGCTCTCTGGGGCTCACAGGATATTTCTGTTTCTCTGTTATCTTGGATCCTTCATTGCAGTGCTCACACAGCCCTTGGGTGATGATCTCTCCTGATTCCTCAGCTCCCCCCTCTCCTGGCTCAGAAAAGCACTGACATTTGGAGCCCTCCTGAAGCTGTCACTTCGGAGCTCCTAAGAACTGAATCACCAGTCTCAGTTCTCCTTTCCTGCCTGCTGAACTTCACAGAAATGTCTGATTCCTTCCTCGGCCCCCTCTGATTTCCCTTTATTGGTGATCCTTTGGGGGTTAGTGGTAAACGTCCTTCTGATCCCAGACTGCTGTTCCAGAGCAGATTATTATCTTCCTGTCCATGCAGCACTTTGATTCTTCCTTTCCCCCGCTATCACCTGAAGGTTTTTGAGTCCCTTTCTCAGTGGTGAGTTATTTCCTCCCATGGCCTCTCTGTCTGTGCTTGCACTGTCCTGTCTCACATCCACACACCATCATTTGACCCGATTTTATCATCATTCTTTTGCAGTTTCAGCTCACTGAGGAGATCATTCTTTGTAAAATAATGTAAAATCAGTTTCTTAATTCACTTCCTTTTTCTTGCTGCCTTTGTGCCTTTCCATGGTTTCTTTTAGGAAGTGCCATTTCTCTTGAATTCCGTACCTTGGTGCTCAGTGCTTGCAGGAGTGCTGAGGATGGAATGTCTGCATTTGCAGTTGTTTTCTGAGAAGTCACCAGTTTCACCAAAAGGGCTCCTGAACTGTGGAAACTTTCATGGTGGTGGTGACGTTTGGGATGTTTTTAGAAGTCTGCTCTGATAACAGAGTGGGGAGGGCTTCAGCAGCACAACTGTCCTTAAATAACAGCACTGGCTGGGAATAGCACTGCCTGTTCTGAGCTGGGCCCTGAGACAAAATGTTCCCAACGGGCTGCAGAGTGGACTCTAAGCTTTCTTACAGCCTTGGATTTATATTTGTTTATTTTGTGAGTAGGTGAACCCAGACATTATTTAAGAGTAGGAAATGGGGCGTTTTTAAAATCTAATACCATGGGATTGTCTCTGGTTCTGCAGTTGGGCTCTGGAGCCTCAGATAATCTGTTTGCCTACCTGCTCTGGTGTCTGGTTTTTGGGGCAGGATCCTTTCCGTGCTCCCTGCAGCTGCTCCAGGCTGTCAGTGGGAGACTGACAGTGATGGGTTTGTGATGGAGGTGACACCCTCAGCTGCAGGCAGGGCACTCCTGTGGTGGAATTGCTGTTTGGGCTGGTGGGATTCCTCTCTTCTTCCTCATGGTTTCCTGTGGGCAGCCCCAGCTGCTGAGTGACTTCACTCAAGTGTGTCACCACAGTTATTTTTCTTCTAAATGCTTCCCTGTATTTGCCTGTGCCATCAAGTGAGAAGGCAAAGTCACAGCTCCATGTTGTGTGGATGTGGCTCCTCTTTGCTTTCTTAGCTTTTTGCTGTTACTCCCAGTACTTTCCCCTGGCTCTTTTTCCTTCAAAAATCATATTTTTGCTCCCAAAATACTAACTACATCTCTACTTAAAAGCAAACAAACAAGCCACTGGCAGAATGAAGTTGTGGATTTCTTTGTGTGCAGAATTTCTCTTTGGAATCAGAAGGTGGGACTTGGCTGCTTGTGCTCTGAAAGCTCAGCTGGCTGGGTCCTGCAGGAAAATCACATTTTTACAGTGCCCTGGCCTTTTGTAATCCTCCAGCTCCTTGTGTCCAGGGGGGAGTGGAGAGGGGCAGGAGGTGGGATGGGTCCTGCTGCCCCCTGAGCGTGGTGTGAGGGCCAGCACATCCCTGCAGCCCTGGATCAGTCAGTGCCCATCAGGAGGTGGATGTGCAGCCCTGGATCAGTCAGTGCCCAGTACCAGGGGTGGATGTGCAGCCCTGGATCAGTCAGTGCCCATCAGGAGGTGGATTTGCAGCCCTGGGTCAGTCAGTGCCCAGGACCAGGGGTGGATTTGCAGCCCTGGGTCAGTCAGTGCCCATCAGGAGGTGGATTTGCAGCCCTGGATCAGTCAGTGCCCACCAGGGATGGATTTGCAGCCCTGGGTCAGTCAGTGCCCAGGACCAGGGGTGGATTTGCAGCCCTGGGTCAGTCAGTGCCCAGGACCAGGGGTGGATTTGTAGCTCTGGGTCAGTCAGTGCCCATTAAGAGATGATTTTGCAGCCCTGGATCAGTCAGTGCCCAGGACCAGGGGTGGATTTGTAGCTCTGGGTCAGTCAGTGCCCATTAAGAGATGATTTTGCAGCCCTGGATCAGTCAGTGCCCAGGACCAGGGGTGGATTTGCAGCCCTGGATCAGTCAGTGCCCATCAGGAGGTGGATTTGCAGCCCTGGATCAGTCAGTGCCCAGGACCAGGGGTGGATCTGCAGCCCTGGATTTGCAGCCCTGCCTGGGAGGGTCCCTGGCTCTGGCAGCACGCCCTGAGGAGTGGGGGGCTCGGCGGAGGCTGCTCCTGGCTGAAGCCCCTCTCTGTGCCCCCCAGCTGGGGAGTCCCCCTGGCCATCACGGTGGCCGCCGTGGCCCTGAGGAAGATCGGCTACGACGCCTCCAACGTTTCTGTGGGCTGGTGCTGGGTCAACCTGGAGGCTGAGGATCGGCTCCTGTGGATGCTGCTGACAGGGAAGGCCTGGGAGATCCTGGCCTACGTCACCCTGCCCGTGCTCTACCTGCTCATCAAGAGGCACATCAGCAGAGCAGTGAGTATTGTGCTGGGGGGTTCTGTCCCCCCATTTCTTGCTCCTGGCTCAGGCAGGTGTTTCAAGGCACTGAGATGTCCCTGGGAGAGGCAGTGCCCCATCCAGCAGCACCATCACACAGTGCCTTAGCACAAGCAGGATGAAAAAGCCCTTTGAAAACGAGCAGGGGTTGTGGGATGTTCATGAGGGAAATGCTACAGTAAGAATTGAAACGGAATGTGAAGGACAAATTCAGCTTTAATCAGTTTTTCTGCAGTTCCACTTGTACCAAGATTGCAATTCTCAAGCCTCGGTCCTTTCGGTGTCTCCAGTGACAGTTTGTGCTTGTGAATGCTATTTTGTACTGCAGCTCAAAGCTGCATTTGGGAGTCCAGGCACTGGATGGCTCTGGGCACCAAAGAGGAGACTCCCTGTCCTGGCAGGGCTTGGAGTTCAGAGCTTCAGTTGTTCTGTTCCTGTGAGCACACAGGACCAGGCATCTGGGGCAGCATTTGCATGCCAGACAAACCCAGATGAGTGGCAGGAGCTGCACCCAGAGATTCCCTTTCTCTCTGAGCTGGGTTAGGGAAAAAAGCCCCACATGTGGGTGGGTGTCCTTCTGGAGAATTCTGCCTCTGCTCGGGGTGCAGCTGTGGTGGTGGTGGGGATGAACACAGCCCTGGCTAGGGCAGCATCCTGCAGATATTTGGAGGAACAAGGTGATTTCCAGCAGCCCTGAGTGTCCAGGGAAGGGAAGGGAAGGGAAGGGAAGGGAAGGGAAGGGAAGGGAAGGGAAGGGTTTGGTTTGCTGGTGCCTGTCAGCATCACCTGGCATGCCCAGGCAGGACACAGCGTCCCTCCTGGGCAGAGACAGCAGCGTGACCTCCTGGAAACCTGACCAGGCTCCTGCCGTGCCAGGGACTGCTGGGCACGCTGCTGTCCCTGCCCATTGCTGGGGACAGCGCTGGGGACAGCTGGCCCCATTCTTAGGGCAGCACAGGGATCCTCTCAGTCCCCTCTTGCCTTCTTGCTGTCCCCAAAGGCAGAGCGTGGCTGCTGCTCCTCGCTGCAGCCCTGCTCCCCTCCGAGGGCTTCCCTTGCTCTGGAAGGGCCCTGGGCTGTCCCCTGAGTGCAGGCAGCTGCTGACCCCCTGTCCCGTCCCTGTCCCGTCCCTGTCCCCTCCTGTCCCCGCCTGTCCCCTGCAGCACGCCGCTCTCTCCGAGTATCGCCCCATCCTGCCCGGGGCCCCGGCCCTGCGGCCCCGCTCCAGCGTGGCGGACACGAAGCTCATCCTCATCCCCGTCATCTTCATCTTCCTCCGCGTCTGGAGCACCGTGCGCTTCGTGCTGACCCTCTGCAACTCCCCCGCCGTGCGGAACTCCGTGCTGGTCGTGCTGCACGTGAGTGCTCGCTGGGCATGCAGCCCGGGGCGGGGCAGATGTGGTGCTCCCGGGGTCGCTTTTGGTGCTGGCACCGAGTGCTGCAGAGCACTGCTGCCCTCAGCGCCGCAGCAGAGCAGAAATGCAGCAGGAGCTGCTCCAGCAGCATCTAGTGGCTGCAGAGGAGAGCTGCACTGGCAGGGGTGGCAGGGGTGGACAGGGGACAGGGATGACAGGGATGGACAGGGATGGACAGGGATGGACAGGGGTGGACAGGGGACAGGGGTGGACAGGGGACAGGGATGGACAGGGGACAGGGATGGCAGGGATGGACAGCCCTGCAGGGGTGTTGGGTGTCTGTCCTCCAGCAGGGCTCAGCCTCTCCTGCCCTACAGCACTGCCAGCACTCAACAGCCCCTGTGCTGCTTTTGGGTGCTTTTTGGGGAAAAAACCACTCATTTCTCTGAATTTCTTGTTCTCGGAGTTGGTGGCTGCCAGCATTGCAGCTGCTCCCGTGGCAGCACTGCAGCTGCTCCTGTGCCTGCATTGCAGCTGCTCCTGTGCCTGTCAGTGCTGCAGCTGCTCCCGTGGCAGCACTGCAGCTGCTCCTGTGCCAGCGCTGCAGCTGCTCCCGTGCCAGCGCTGCAGCTGCCCTGGCAGTGTTTGCTGTCCCCTGGGGTGCCCGTGGCAGCAGCCCCGGGTGACTGCCGTGCTGCCCTTGCAGGGAATCGGGAACACGTTCCAAGGAGGAGCCAACTGCATCCTGTTCGTGCTGTGCACGCGCGCCGTGCGCGCCCGGCTGCTGGCCCTGCTCTGCTGTCACCAGCTGGCCTGGCCTGCCCGGGCAGCCCCCGGCCCCTGGCAGCACCCTCAGCCCCCCGGGGACAGCGACAGCGACAAGGACAAGGACAAGGACAAGGACGTGCCTGGCCCCGGGCAGGCGAAGCCGCTGCTGCCCAGCACCTGAGGCAGCCCCGGCTGCTGCTGGGTCCTGCTCGCGGTAAAACCCAGTGAGGCTCCCCTGCTGCTGGGGAGGGACAGGGACAGGGGACAGGGAGTGGGGACAGGGAGTGGGGACAGGGAGACGGGGAGTGGACACGGGACAGGGAGTGGGGACAGGGAGTGGGGACAGGGACAGGGAGAGGGGACATGGGACAGGGAGAGGGAGTGGGACAGGGAGCAGGGACAGGGACGGGGAGAGGGGACACGGGACAGGGAGAGGGAGTGGGGACAGGGACGGGGAGTGGGACAGGGAGTGGGGACAGGGAGAGGGAGTGGGGACACGGGACAGGGACAGGGGACAGGGAGCGGGGACAGGGAGTGGGGACAGGGAGAGGGGACAGGGACGGGGAGAGGGGACACGGGACAGGGAGAGGGAGTGGGACAGGGAGAGGGACAGGGGACAGGGAGTGGGGACAGGGACGGGGAGTGGGACAGGGAGAGGGAGTGGGGACACGGGACAGGGGACAGGGAGAGGGAGTGGGGATGGGGACAGGGAGAGGGAGAGGGGACAGGGACAGGGGACAGGGAGTGGGGACAGGGACAGGGAGCGGGGACGGGGACAGGGAGAGGGAGTGGGACAGGGACAGGGGACAGGGAGCAGGGACAGGGAGCAGGGACCCGGGACAGGGGACACTGAGCAGGGACAGGGATCAGGGAGGAGTCACAGGGAGCAGGGACAGGGAACAGTCACAGGGGCAGTGCCAGGGGACAGTGCCAGGCGGTTCTGCTGCTGCCCTGCTGGTTCCCTGTCTGGCTCTGCAGCCCCATCACGCTCCCAAAGCCTTCACAGAACGCTCTGCTCCCTTCCCCTGAGCTGCTCCTCGGGTGGGACAGGGACAGGGGACAGGGAGAGGGGACAGGGAGCAGGGACAGGGAGCAGGGACCCGGGACAGGGGACACTGAGCAGGGACAGGGATCAGGGAGGAGTCACAGGGAGCAGGGACAGGGAACAGTCACAGGGGCAGTGCCAGGGGACAGTGCCAGGCGGTTCTGCTGCTGCCCTGCTGGTTCCCTGTCTGGCTCTGCAGCCCCATCACGCTCCCAAAGCCTTCACAGAACGCTCTGCTCCCTTCCCCTGAGCTGCTCCTCGGGTCTGTGAGAGGAGGAAAGGAGGAACTGAGCTGCAGGGCTGTCTGCCCACAGGGGCAGGGCACCAGCAGGGCTCAAGGGGAACTGGGGGCTCTTTCTGATGGGAAATGCCACGTGCACACATTTTGTCAGTGTGCACAGATGAGGTTTTGGTGCCTGAGTTCCCCCCACAAGGGGATGCCTCTGGGCAGAGGTGCCTCCTGCTCTTTCCTGAAGTCCTGGCATTCACTTGACATGCCACGTGCACACACATTTTGTCAGTGATTTTGGTGCCCCGAGTTCCCCCCACAAGGGGATAGCTCTGGGCAGAGGTGCCTCCTGCTCTTTCCTGAAGCCCTGGCATTCACTTCATCATTATGTTCACTTCATCATTATGTTCACTTCATCATTATATTCACTTCATCATTATATTCACTTCATCGTTATATTCGTGTATTTAAACCCCAGTGGGCACAGAGTAAACACTCAGGAGCCCTTCGTGGGGCTGCTGGCTGGCTCTGCTCCTCAGCCCCCCTGGGGTCTTTGAAAGGTAGATGGAAGCATCTTATCTGTGCCATGGATGACTTCAAGAGTTGTTTTTTTCTCCTTTCAAAAGGCTTTTAAAAACTTCTGAAAGCTAAATAGCAACCTTGCCAGCTCAACCTCTTGTGAGTCCCACAAGGCTCAGAAAGAGGAGCTGTGTTAAACTTCTTGCAGAAAGGTAGGATAGAAATGTTTAAATTTTATGAGACTTGGTGTCGTGCTGTGCTCAGTTTCATTTGGAGCCAGCCCTGAAGAGAGAAGGAAGAATTGTCACCAGCTTGGCTTAGGGGGAAACAAAACAGCAGGAAAAACAACACCAGAAAGAATCAAAACAGATTCCATGTCCTCAGTTTGCCTTTTTGCATTACAGAGCTCTGAGAAATGCTTCTGGAGGGATGGGCCAGGGTTCCATTTCCAGCTCCAGGGGTGTGACTGTCCCTGTCTCTGTCCCTGTCCCTGCAGGTGCAGGGTGCTGGCACAGCCCTGCAGTGTCCCTGTCCCTGCAGTGACTGTCCCTGTCCCTGTCGCTGTCCCTGCAGGTGCGGGGTGGTGGCACAGCCCTGCAGTGACTGTCCCTGTCCCTGTCCCTGTCGCTGTCCCTGCAGGTGCAGGGTGGTGGCACAGCCTTGCAGTGACTGTCCCTGTCCCTGTCGCTGTCCCTGCAGGTGCAGGGTGGTGGCACAGCCTTTCAGTGACTGTCCCTGTCCCTGTCGCTGTCCCTGCAGGCGCGGGGTGCTGGCACAGCCCCGCAGAGGGAGCTGCAGCCCGGGGAAAGCGGCGCTGGAGAGGCTGAGCCCTGCCCGGGTCCCGCTGCTCACTCACCCGCCGGGATGCTCTGCACGGACTGCGCTCCCTCATCTCCCTCATCTCCCTCATCTCCCTCATCTCCTCATCTCCCTGTGCCTCCCCTGGGATCTGAGCGCTCGCTGGGGTCTCGCTCTGGGTGCTCAGAGGCTGCGGGAGCTGCTGGAAGGACTGTTCGGGGCACGGCTGTCTGTCCTGCCGGCTGCAGCCCGCTCTGGTCCCCGCTCAGCTGGGACAAGGCAATGTTCATTTTGTGGTGCTGGGTGTTCCTCCCTCCCCTGGTGCTGAGGGGCTGTCACCGTGGGGCTTGGGGGTTCTCCTGAGGGCACCAGAGCCCTGCAGGCTCCCTGGGTGCTGGGGTGGGGATGTGCCCCAGGCTCCCCAGGGACAGCCCTGCCCTGCAGGACAGAGCCTGGCCCCGAGCTCAGCCCCTGGGCACTGCTGGGGAGGGCTGGGGGTCCCTGTGCCACTTGGAGATGATAATGTTTTACCTCATTCACAGCTCCTCACTTGTGTTGGGTTGGGGGTTTTTTTGGGTTTTTTTTGGTGGTTTTTTTTTTTTTTTTTGGGGGGGGGGTTTTTTTGGGTTTTTTAAGTATTCTCTCCGACGTTTACAAAATAAAGTTTGGTTTCCTTACCAGGACTCTGGCCAGCATTGCATTTGTGCAGCACAAACAGATCTGGTTCTTGGTTCCAGAGCCCAGCTCTGCTGCTGCTCCCTGCAGAGCCCTCCTGGATCCAGCCCTGTCCTTTGGCTGGGCACCAGACTCACATCTCCCTCTCCTAGTTGGATTGGAAGCCACTTGGGCAGCTGATAAAGCAGGGGCTGGGTGTGATTTATTTTCAGGCAGATCACTAATTCCTGCAATCCTTGTTTCACCTGAAGTCTGTTGTAGCCCAGGGGCCCAGAATGTTGAATTAGCCTTGCCTGAGCACTCAATTCCTTCCCAAAATGCAGGTGGGCAGGTGTCACCCCTGGGTACATTCTGGGGATGTCTCCTCAGGGTGGGCACTGCAATGGGCACCCTGCAGCAGGGCTGGCTGCCAGCTCCTGCTCAAACATCCCATTTTAGAGCTCACCACTAAGGTTCCCCAGCACATTTACTGTCCTGCAAACGAAGCTTGCCCTCTTCATCATTTTTATTTCCCCCAAAGGTTTTCATAGGATTTTCCCCAAAGGTTTTCATAGGATTTTCCCCAAAGGTTTTCATAGGATTTTCCCCAAAGATTTTCAAAGGGTTTCACAGGCTCCAGCCTTGAGCACAGATCAGGCTGAGGTGAGTGAATCCCTGCACACCATGAGCTGGGTGAGGGCAGGGCAGGCAGAGTGAGCATCCCCAGGCACACAAGCTCTGGGGTGAGGAGCAGATGCAGAACCTGGGCTGTGCTGCAGCTGAAATGTGTAAATGCCTGTAAAATCAGCTCCCTGCTCGTTCCTGGCTCTGTCCTTTGCCAAGTCCAACAGGGTCCCAGCTGCTGAAGATGTCACCCCCCTGCAGCCACAGAAAACCCAAGAAGTTGATTTACCACCCTGTCTCCCTTCACCAACCTCCTCCAAGACCATCCCAGTGCCAGTTGCAGCCACAGAGGTGTTGTTGCCACACTCCTGCTGTGTTTGGAAAACATCCCAACTGTTCTGCTGCCATCAGCACACGTTTACACTGATGAATGGGTTTTGATGACAAACATGTGTGCTCTCTTTGATTCCTGTATGTTCCAAGATCATTTCTTCAAGCTCAGGAGCAGAGTTTAAAGACCATGACAGCGACTTCTCCTTCCCTGCACTGAGTGTCAGAGCAGCTGTCATTCTGCCAAGAGCTCCAGAGGCTGACACTGCCTTTGAAGGACTGGAATTCCACGATGGAAATTTGCCCTCTTTGCAGTTTCCCCAGCTCTGGGGCAGAATTTTCCCTCTTGGTTTGAGACCTGTGAAGGTGAGGGACCAGGAGCGTGAGCCCAGCTGGGAACTGTGCCTCCAGTGGGGAGAAATGCACCAAAGGAGAGAAGCCAAGGCTGTGGGGAGGGAACAGCTCCGCTCAGCGAGCAGCAGGGCTCTGCTCTCCTCCTGCTCTGGAGCATGCTGCAGCCACGTGGAGCAGGCGATGCTGCAGCCAGCCAGGCAGCGTGTGCAGGGCACGTGGCTCGGAGGTGTTGCTCAAGAGATGCCTTTTTCCTGAACTGCCCGACAAAAATAAACAGACCGATAACAACCAGCAGGCTTTGTTCTGGTTTATCCGGCTGCTGGGAGCGCCTGTGAACTTTGCATTTCTCCGATAAACTCTGCGGTTGTAGTGGATGATTAACCAGCCCTGGGCTCTTAAAGCATCCCATAGCAGAGGGGGTTAACAGGAGCCAGCAGCACGTGGTGCACCCCTGCATGGAGGGGGAAAGGCTCTGCAGTGCCTCGGGGCAGACCCTGGCAGGCACAGCCCTGGCAGGATGAGCTCTGGGGGCTGCAGGAGTGCCTGAGCCAGCTGCCCCTGCAAGGTAGGAAAGGAGCAGCACTGCGCAGCTTGGGGAGGGGGAGATCTGGGCAATTGGTCTGCAGGGGGTTACTGGGGTCAGGCTGCAGAGCTGTGGCTCAGGGCAAGCCCTCTGTTACCAGGGCTGCTCCCCACGTTCCCTGGTGCCACAGCAGCTGGGCAGCACCTCTGGCTGTACCTCCCCCAGCAGCTGCAGCTCCCGGGGCTCTCCCTGCCCAGATTTTGGGGCAAACTGGCTCATTTTACCAGCTTGGGTGAAAGGCTGCCCCTTGTCCCTGGAGGGATGAGCCTGTGCCCCTCTCACTGGGCAGGATCTGCTGAAAGAACATCTGTCACTGGCAGCAGAGTTGGAGCAAAATGAAATTGCAGCCGTGGGAGAGCCAGGCAGAGGAAGGGGAGGATCAGTCCCAGAGCCTTGCCCCGCTGACAGAGCCTGGGAGTGTTTGGAAGAGTCACAGAAGGGTTTTTTCTGTGCAGGGCGTCTCCATCCCCCGTGGCTGCGGTGACTGGAGGAGCTGTGCTCAGCATCTGTGACCCACGGGGCAGCATGAAGCTGAAAGGAGGGCAGCAGGGCAGCTCCCAGGGCCCTGGGGGTGCCAGGGGGGTGAGTATGCTGCCTGCCTGCCCCCAGGGACCCAGGACCAGCCTGGGCACCTGGCTACCTGCAAAGGGGGGAAAGACCCTGATCTTTTGGGCTGAGGTGTTTCTGTTTGTGTCTGTGTTGCACTGAGTGATGGCAGCTCTCCCACCCGTTCCCTCCTGTGTGCCTTTCCCCTCCTGTGTGGGTTTTCTTTCCTATTTTCTGACCAGTTCTCAGCTGCAGATGCTTCAGGATGGGGCTGCCTTTCCCAGCAGTGCTGGGGAGTCTCGCACAAGGCACTGCTGGGCGAATGCCAGAGGTTTTCTTGAAAGTGCTGGATGTCAATAATTAACACCAGCGGCTCTTCTGAGCTCCTGGGATTTGGTTCACGAGAGCAAGGCGGCTGCTTTCCTTCACCAATGAGAGAATGTCAGCAGTCTCCTCCCAGAAAACTGGCCTGGAGTCCATAGGCTGAGACAGACTTGAATTTTGACCTCCTGTAACACCTTAAACTCTGCAGATCCCTGGAGCTGAGCTGCCAGAGATGCCGAGGAACAGCAAAAGCACCAGCAGCTCTTTGGACAAATGTTCAGTTAGGGAGGTGACAGAGCCCTCCTGAGGGACTGAGCTGAGTGCTGGGAAGGAAAACCTCGCAGACATTGAGGCTGGTGAGGGTGGCAGCAAAAGGGATTAAAATGAAAAATGACTTTATTGATGTGGCAGCAGCGAGATGCATTAGCGAGCTACAAACCCCAGCCAAACAAAACCCCAACAACGCAGCTCTGTCAGCACAGCCCGGGGGCTGAGCTGCAGCTGAACTGTTGGGAAAATCGAGTTGTTCTGGTTGTGGTGACCCCGGGGAATGTGTGCCCACGGTGATCCCCTGCAGAAGGCAATTCCTCTCTGTTCTGGTGCAAAGGGCAGCTCTCAGCCCTCAGCCAAGCCCTCTGGGGCTGCCTGGATAAGTTCTAATTGGCTTCAGTGGCAATCAGTTAGATCCATAAATAGCCCCATCCCAAAATGCAGAGGAAGAAAAAAGGAACAGGAAAGGGATTTGGCCACTTAATGCAAAAATCTCTTCTTTTTAAAGCTTTCCTGTGCCAACATCCTGTGTTATTGCACTGCCCAATTTGCACATTGGAAAAGAATAATTGCATCCAACCTTTTTCCCTGCAGGGTGGCGTTTTAAGAATGGTAACTTGAAAAAAAATAAATTAATCCTCCAAATGATTCATCAATACCAGCAAAGCAGAGTGAATTACTCTAATGACATTGGGCATATCAAGCAGAACAAAACGAGCTGTAATGGAAACAACCCATTGGGCTTTTATTTGTAGCAAAATGAAGGCAAAAGCACAGACAGCACGACTTTGTGTCCTTCATTGTTTTTACTGAATGTTATTCATGCCTAAGAGCCAGACCCACTTCCAAGGAGGTGTTTATGTTTTTTTTTCTGTCCCTCTGCAGAAAATGACACTTCCCCTGGCGCTGGTGGCTCTGATCTCTGCCTTTGGCTCTTCCTTCCAGTACGGGTACAACGTGTCTGTGATCAACTCCCCTGCCCCGGTGAGTGGGGTCAGAGCAGAGCCAGGCAGGTGGAGGGGCTGGAAATGAAACGAAATGTTCCTTGGGGTGTTTGTGGGCACGGGCTTGTTCCCCGTGCTCTGGGAGCCAGGCACACCCCACAGGGCAGGGCAGCCTGCAGGGCACAGGCTGCTCCATCCCCTGCACCCCGGGCTGCTCCATCCCTCCCTGGCGCTCACTCCCCGCTCACCCGCTCTGGATTCTCCCCAGGACAGCTGGTTTTTGGCACAGCTTTATTGCCCAGCCCTCACAGCAGGGACATCACACTCACTGTGCCCACCCTGCTCTGTGCTTCCTTCCAGTACATGCAGGACTTTTACAACAGGACCTACCTGGAGAGGACGGGCCTGCCCATGGACAGGGGCTTCCAGACGCTGCTCTGGTCTCTCACCGTGTCCATGTTCCCTCTGGGGGGCCTCTTTGGGTCCCTCATGGTGTGGCCCATGGTCAACAACTGCGGCCGGTAGGTGAGAGCCCTATCTGGGGCCCTGCCCTCACTTTGGGAGCTGATAACTTTCAGCTTTTGAGCTGATAACATTTAATACTTGAGCAAATAACATTCTGCATTTGAGCAGATAGCATTTAACATCAGGGTAGATAACATTTAGCATTTGAGCAGATAACTTTCAGCATTTGAGCAGGTAACATTTAGCTCCTGGTCACTCCACCTTGCCCAGCCCTTCAGCTGCCCGAAATTCCCCCCCTCACCCTGAGGCTAAAGCAGGTGGGACAGGGAGAGCTGCTGGGCTCTCCTTGCCCCAGGGTGAAGGAATTTATGGGCTTCTGGTGTGGGTTCCTTCCCCACTGCCTCAGTCCTGGGGTCTCAGATCAGGCCCAGCTTCTGCTGCTCAGGTTTCCTGGGAAACTTCACTTCTTTCTGGAAGCCTTCATTGCCTGCAGGAAAAATGTGGCCATTGCCATTTCCTCCCTGATCAGTGTCTGGCACGATGGTTAATTTGAGTTTTGGACAGCAGGACACAGGGGGGATCCTTCTGCAGCTCAGGATGGCCCAGCTGAACCTCCCTCTCCTCCTGTTACTTGCAGGAAGGGCACTTTGCTGATAAATAACCTCTTTTCCATCGCTGCTGCAATCCTTATGGGAACCTCGGAGCTGGCAAAAACCTTTGAAGTAATCATCATTTCCCGTGTTGTCATGGGAATATTCGCTGGTAAGTGGATGGTAAAGGGAGAGCAATAAATATTTCCCTGGCTGTGTAAAGGTGTTTTCTTCTCCCCGCAGATGCTTTCACAGGTATCACACTGTGGAATCTGCATGACAAGGCTGTGCTTCAGCCTGGGGCAGGAGTACTAAAGATCCTTGGGAGATAATGGCCCTGGGACTGGAATTTCAGCTGCGGGGAGGAGATGTGTGTCTGTAAATGCAGCAATAAACATCTGCTGGGCACTGCAGCTCCAGACCTGCTGAGGATAATCTGTTTTCCCAGACAACTTAAAGCAGATCGTCTGCTTCTTTCCTTTTTAACATAACCAGGAGAATCCATCAAAAGCATTGCCAGATCCAATAATGCAGTGCTGGAACTGCCTGTTCTTGCTGCAGGAGAAAAGCAATGTTAAAAGGGAGAGCAAAGGGCTCAGGGGCTCTGGATTTCCTGCAGAGGGAGGGAAGCCAAGGATCTCTGTGTGTTCCTGGAGTGAGTGGCTGTACTGGAGCTGCAGGAACAGAGCAGAACCATGCTGGGCACCCTGAGCACAGCCAGGCCTAGCAGGGTCCTAAGAGCATTTAGGCTCAATTAATTGGCTTTGGGCTGGTGAGGCTGGCACACTCCGTGGTGTTAATGAGCTGGGGTAGCTTGTAAAAACAAATTTCCTGCCTTAGCTGGCCAATTGCATTTGCTGCATGTGCAGATCAAGTTGTTTTCCTAAGCCAGTTTCTTGTTTTCCATTTTTTTTAGTCCAATGGTTTTACTTTGGCTTTTGACTCCCTTAAAGCTGGCAGCTGCTCTCAGCACTGGAGCTTGGAATAAATGCTAAGGGTCTTGTTAAATGTGATCCCTGCCTGCAGTTATTTATAACCAGCAAGCAAATCCAGCCTGGCTGCCCTGGCTCGTCCTGCCCAGGCTGGCCTGGCCTGAACTGTGCCTGGGGAGGATCAGGGAGGATCCCAGGCACTGGCACCTCTGGCACTGCTGGCACTTGTTTCTGAGCCTTTTAGGCCCTTCAGCTTTCAAATATCAGCCTGACCACCTTGGTAAAACGGGGCTCCTGAAGCCCAGGGACTCTAGAAATGTCAGGTGGGAGTTCCCTGTGGTCATTTGATTCCAGGAGCTGGGAGCTGCCAGGATTTTGTGAGCAGAGGAGCTGGCAGCTCGCTGGGGTCACTGTGGGCAGCCCTAGAATGTTCCTAAAAATAACCCACATCCCTGGTGCCCTTATTAGAGCATAAATACCTATTCCATCAGGCCACCAGCAAAGCTCTCAGCACAGCCTCACTGAGCAGGGAAGTTTTCAAAGCCAACACAAAGTCATTTCCTTCCACTTTCACATCAGCGTGTCTGGACACTGATTTCTCTTCTTGTTTTAGAGGAAGCAAAAAGTTCCTCTCTTATATTTGGAGTTTGTTTCCAAACCTGAAGCTGCACAGTTTTTCTTTGTGTGTCTTGTGCTCTTCCTGGCAGAGCCTGCTGGGAGAAAGCTGCTTTTAGGAGGATGAACACTGAACACTCAGACCAAGACACCCCCAAATCATCTGCTGGCTCTGTAGGCAAGGCAGGCTCCTGCCAATCCTCTCAGACTCCAAAGGTGCTTTGGTGCCCAGCAGCTGATAACCCAGACACTCAAAGCAGGAGGGTTTGACTGTGGAGTTTCTGTGCACCCTGGGGTTCATCAGGAATCTCTTTTTGCCCATGGGAAATCAGCAGCTTGCTGAAGGCTGAGCTGCATGTCTAACACTGTTCTCAACTTCTAGGTCTGGCTTCCAACGTGGTTCCCATGTTCCTTGGAGAAATGTCCCCCAAAAACCTGAGAGGAGCTGTTGGGGTGGTGCCACAGCTCTTCATCACCATTGGCATCCTTGCAGCTCAGGTCCTCGGTCTCAACAGCATCCTTGGGAATGCCAAAGGTAAAGCCGTGGCTCAGGGCCCCTGCAGGGCTCCTCAGGGCAGGATTTCCCTCAGCTGAGTGCTGTGACCTTGCTGCAGGGTGGCCGGTGCTGCTGGGGCTCACGGGGATCCCGTCCCTGATCCAGCTGCTGACCCTGCCCTTCTTCCCCGAGAGTCCCAGATTCCTGCTCATCCAAAGGGGCAACGAAGAGCAGGCACGGAGAGGTACAGTGCCCCTGCCATGGCAGGGGCTGGCAGGGGATGGGTGTGCCCGAGGGACAGGCTGGCAGCACCAGGGTGGCAGGGATGGATCTGCCCGAGGGACAGGCTGGAGCACCAGGGTGGCAGGGATGGCAGGGGATGGATCTGCCCGAGGGACAGGCTGGAGCACCAGGGTGGCAGGGATGGATCTGCCTGTGGGACAGGCTGGAGCACCAGGGTGGCAGGGGATGGGAAGGGATGGATCTGCCCATGGGACAGGCTGGAGCACCAGGGTGGCAGATTCTGCACCGCTGTGCTGCTGGGGGTGGAATTCTCAGGGCACTGCTCCTTTCCCTGGGTTGTGCATCCCCAGGTGCCCACCACGGGACCTCAGCTGCCCAGGGTCACACCCTGCTCTGTCCTGGTCTGAGCAGGACGGCTCTCTGCAATCCTGGGGCTCACCTGTGCTCTCCCCACCAGCTCTGCAGAGGCTGAGGGGCTGGGAGGACGTGGATGATGAGATACAGGAGATGTACCAGGAGAACCAGTCGGAGAAGGAGGAAGGGCAGTTCTCTGTGCTCAGCCTGTTCACCTTCAGGGGCCTGAGGTGGCAGCTCATCTCCATCATCGTCATGATGGCAGGCCAGCAGCTCTCGGGGGTCAATGGGGTGAGTGGGGAAGGCTGGGGGGCACCAACAAGGGCTGCAGTCCATGGGGTGCTGGGGACAGGCTCCTGGCAGTGCCCCGGCCCCAGGACATGCCCAGTGCCACACGGGGCTGGCTCAGCCCTGGCCACACCAAATCCACGACAAGCTGCAGGGTCAGCTGCCCTGTTAATGACCACTGGAGTGTGTCTAGAGCAAAGTGCTCGTGCCCACATCCAAGGAGTGTCTCCAGAGATGGACAAATTCCACCCTCGGGCTTCTGTGCGCCAGTGCCAGGATTTAAAGCAGCCCAAAGGATCCCCCTGCTGTGCCCTGGGCCGTGCAGGAACACAGCTGTGCTTCTGCTGCAGGTCTTCTACTACGCAGACAGAATCTTCGAGTCAGCAGGGGTGCACAGCAGCAGCATCCAGTATGTCACCGTGTCCATAGGGGCCATCAACGTGGTCATGACTCTGCTGGCTGTAAGTTGTGCTGGGCTCTCCTTGCCCACTGTCCCCTGTTTAAATTAGGGTGTGCTCATGGAATCTGACTGTCAGAATGGTTTGGGTTGGAAGGGACCTTAGAGATATCCCAAAACCCTTCCACTGGAGTGTTATTTGCACACACTGGGAGGTGTTTTCCATGAGAGATGTGCTGGGGTGGCCCTTGGACAAAAACATCTGCAGCAATTGCTGAGCCCCTGGTGCCTGCCCCTCTCCCCTCTCCTGTCTCTTCCAGGTTTTCATTGTGGAATCCCTGGGGAGGAGGATCCTTCTCCTGGCTGGCTTCGTGCTGTGCTCTGCCTCCTGTGCAATCTTAACTCTGGCCCTCAATCTCCAGGTGTGTAGGAATGGCTCAGCTGGTCCCTCCCATGGTTCTGGACTTTCCAGAACAGCCATTGGAATATTCTGAGGATGTTTCTACACCCTGGGGAGGATGAAAGTCTCTGTACTTGCATGTCTACCTTAAAGAAAGGCTGGTGCTGAATGCTCCCCCCGGATGTCATGTTCCCAGTTCCTGCTGCATCAGGGTCCTTTGGCAGCAAGGACCATAGCCAGGCTGTGCTCTCTGTGTCTGACTCTGGCACTGAAGGGTGCCACTGCCTTGGAATGCCTCAGATCTTACGGGAACAGTGCCTGGGATGTGCAGGTGGTGTTCAGGCAGGAAGCAGCCCTGACCTGTGATTCAATCCTTGCAGACCACCGTCTCCTGGATGTCCTACCTCAGCATAGTGTGTGTCATTGCCTACATCATTGGACATGCCATCGGACCCAGTAAGTGCCCACAGCCTCCCCTCCAGCTGGGTAAGGGTGTTGTCTTCAATTTCCAACCAAAACCTTTGTGGAGCCTTTGTGTGAGGCTGAATTTCATCTCTGTGTGGCCATGCCCCGTGCAAGTCATTTAATTGTTCAGTTTTTTCCTTTAAATTGAATCCTGGTTTGACTTACTGATAGCTGAAACCACAGTCTGCCACTGAAATGAGCAGTGCAAGTAGGAGCTGAGGGATTGCCTCTGGGGTTCCCACCTGCAGGTCCCATTCCTGCTGTGATGATCACTGAGATGTTCCTGCAGTCGTCCCGGCCCGCGGCCTTCATGGTGGGGGGCTCTGTGCACTGGCTCAGCAACTTCACCGTGGGGCTGCTGTTCCTCTACATGGAGGTAAGGCCCCACCACGGGGCACAGCCTGGGCTGCACAGCAGCCTCTTCACCCCTGTGTTCCTACAGAGAGGCTCTGAGGAGTGTAAATGCATTTTCTGGCTCCCAAAACCCGTGTGTGGGATGGTGTTACAGGCAGGAGAATGATGATTCCCAGCATTTCCTCATCACACCTGGCTGTTGCACAGGCTTTAAAAGAAAGCAGTTTGGTTGCCAGGTCTCATCCTGAGCTCAGGAGCTGGGAAAAGATGGCAAATTCCCCATCTGCCACTGCGGGATGTGCCTCAAGAGGACAATTTAGGTTCTGAGATCTGGGTGCCTGTTAAAGTGCCCCCAGCAGCAGGCACCATGAACTGCTGCAGCCCCTGGCTCCACCCTGGGCAGAGGCAGCTGCTGAGTTTTGTGTGAGTTATGGAGCAGAGCCTCAGCCTCCTTCCCCAGGAAGTTTCCAATAAATCCATGGTGCTGGTTTGAGAAGACAGAATCTGAACCCACCCCAGCTTTGAGTTGTTCAGGTTACAACAGGAGCACCTCAGCGTGGCAGCATTTGCAGCCAGAGCAGGTAACTCCCAGCTGGAATGCTGCCCTGACCCTGCTCTCTGTCACTGCCCTAGGCTGGGCTGGGGCCCTACAGCTTCCTCATCTTCTGCGCCATCTGCGTCGCCACCATGCTCTACATCTTCTTTGTTGTTCCTGAGACCAAGAATAAAACCTTCATGGAAATCAACAGGATCATGGCCAAGAGGAACAAAGTGGAGGTTCAGGAAAGCAAAGAGCTTAGAGGTTCCTACCCCCTGAGCAGGCCAGAAGAGAAGAAGTGGCTCTCCAGCAGCGAGATGTGACCCAGCCGTGTTTGGCCTGACAGGATCTGCTCAGGAAAACAAACACAGGGATTCCTCCTTTGATGCTGATCTGACAGTCATGGAGCTGCTAAGGCTGGAAAAGACATTTAGCATCAAATCCAACTGCAAACCTAACGCTGGCAAGTCCTCCTCTTGTTCCAAGGAAAAGGAAATGTCCCAGCTGTGACCAAGTAGCGGTGGCACGAGCTGATGTGTGTCCCTGGTGTCCTGGTGACACATCCAGGGGACACAAGCCAGCCCTTGGGCTGGGCGTGGGGCAGTGCAAGGAGGGCACTGAACTCCTCTGAGGAACTGTCACTCGTGTGTTTGAGGGTCCAGCAAGGGGAAATGAAATTCAGTTTGGTACATCAGCGTGCTGCCCTCTGTTTTGAAAAAGCAGAACTGTTGAGCAGCTTGGCATGGATCTTGTGTGGTAGATGGAGAATCCTTCACGTGATTTACTTTAACCTTAGCAAATCATGTATCTATAAACATACCTGTGCTCAAGTTTGTGATATATAAGTGTTGGAAAAGGCTCTGTTTCCATGCTCTGTCTCTACATCCACTGCAAAAAGAAGGCAAAGTTGTGCCACAGGCCAAGGCACAGGGATGGCACAGGAGCTGTCCTGGGACCTGCCCTGCCGAGCCCCACATCCACTCTCCTGGGGATATGACTGCAAGGGAGGGGGTGGTGGGCTGGTGGTGACAAACAGGAGAGACAAGCAGGGAAGATGGTGAGAAACTGAGACAGGTGAGGGATGGGAGAGAACTTTTATTTGAGAAAGCTCCTTTGACCAGAAGGAGCTCCTTGGCATGAAAAAAAATCTGTGTATGGGGATCTAAATCAACCCCATGGAAGGGATGTAACAGCTCAGGGTGCTGGATTGTGCCAGATTCTGCAGTTCATTGCTTTTGTCTCACAGATGGAGGTTTTGGTCTCTTGGGAAAGAGCACCAGGAGGTGCACAGTGAGCCCACAGAGCAGGAGCAGGAGCAAGCAAACCACCTCAGCTTTTCTGACTTTCCCCAACAAGCAGTTCAGACTCTCTGGCTGCCCTGTGCTCACTGGCAGCTGGTGTCAGGCAGCAGAAGCACCCCCCCGAGCAGGGCCATGGGGGTCTGTCCCCAGGCTATGACATCCCCCGTGGGCTGCCCTGCCCTGCACAGCGCCAGCGCCCGAACCTCGGCGGCGCCCAGCACCCGGCTCCACAGGTTCACCTGGCTCAGCCACCCTGCAAACCCGTTGGAGAACGTGCCAAGCAGGGCGTCCCTGTCCTTGCCAAGCACCAGGGTGCCCCCAGGCTGGCTCACGTAGCCCTTCTGGACGCTCTTGGCCTTGCCAGCTGCCCCGTTGAGCCAGAGCGCGGCCGTTCCCTCGGGGGACGCCCAGGTCACGCAGTGGTGCAGCCAGCCCTGGGCCTCCTGCTGCAGGGGGAAGCTCAGGAAGTGGCCTCCTACCCAGAGCCCCAGCTCCGTGCCCACGGTCACCACCAGCTCGTGGTCGCTCTCCCCAGTGGAGTAGGACAGGACGGTGTGGGTGCCGGCGGGCTGGGATCTGCTCCAGAAGCACAGCGTGAAGGCTTGCAGAGACACAGCACGCAGGGGATGAACCTCCACAAAGCTCTCAATGCTTTCCACGGGGAAGTAGAAAGCTGGGAAGGTGCTGGATTTCGTACCTGAAAGAACCCAAAAGGCAGCAGTTACATTTGCTGTAAGCAAGCCCAAATTCTGGAGGGTAATACCCGCAGAGCTGGGAGGGCTGTGCAGTCTGGGGGTTTTACTGCTGAGTGTTGTGCCAGCAGGGAAGGGGTTTGCAATGGTGACAAGATGAGCTCCCCCACCCAAATGTTTGGGAAAGTCATGGTTTTCCCTCCATCCTTCTCTGTTCTCATGTTGTATAAAATAGAGGTGATGGTTATTTTTCCTGGGGGAACTTGAGCTGAGCATTTCGACTGTCTGTAAATATGTGCTCCCATGTGGCAGGAGAGAGCTGCAGCTGCTGTGGGAGTAGCTGGCTTAGGGCTGGCCTTGATGATGGTGAAGGGTTTCCATCAGCAGGCCCAGACATGGCACAAAATTCTACCTGGGTGTGCCAGTACCAAACCTGTCAATGACTTGGGCCACCAAGCTCAGCAGGGCTCTTCATCTCACCAGGTGAGCTGGACTCAGCCTGTGCTTCTTACCTGTGGGGCTCAGCCCATTCAGCAACTCAGTCTTGATGTCCTGGAGCTGCATCTGGATTTGATCCAGCCTGAGGGTGAATTCCTCTGCATGGCACTGTGCTGGAGCAATCAGAGAGCTGCATTTACAGAGGGCTGGGACCTGCACAGGCTGCATTTTGTAGCTGCAGCAAAAGCTGCGCTCCAAAGTGCAGCTCCAAAGTGCAGCTCCTCTCCTCTGTGTGCCCGCCCAGAGCTGTTCCCACCCGCTCCATGCACCACACACACCCCAGCTGAGGGTCCTGACGTGGTGCCAGGCAGCTCCAGCCACCCTGCAGGTGTGGCACTCAGCGGGCAGGGCTGGCACACACCTTAAACCAGGGGTGCCAGGCACACAGGACACCTCCACCCAAACAGGAACACTGCCCTCCCAGACAGGCGATTCCAGCCCGTCCAGCCCCAGGGCTGGCAGTGTCACACCCTCCCAGGGGTGTCTGTCCCCCGGTGTCCCCTGGGCCTACCCTGGCCCTGCTGGGCTGGGAAGGAGGCCTCCACCACGCGGCCCCGCAGCGGCTGCGCGTGCCGGTAGTCGTTGCGCAGGGTGCGGTTGTGCCAGTCCAGCAGGGTGTTCTCCAGGAGCTGCACCTGCCACAGGGACAGGGACAAACAGGGCACGGCGGGGTGGGGACAGCACTCAGGGCATGGGGACAGCACTCAGGGCATGGGGACATCACATGGACAGGGACAAACACAGAGCATGGTGGTGTAGGGACAGCACTCAGGGCATGGGGACATCACATGGACAGGGACAAACACAGAGCATGGTGGTGTAGGGACATCACACAGGGCACAGGGACATCACTCAGGGCATGGGGACATCACTCAGGGCATGGGGACATAATACAGGGCATCACTCAGGGCATGGGGACAGCACTCAGGGCATGGGGACATCACACAGGGCATGGGGACATCACAGGGACAGGGACAAACACAGAGCATGGTGGAGTAGGGACATCACACAGGGCACAGGGACATCACACAGGGCACAGGGACATCACACAGGGCACAGGGACATCACACAGGGCACAGGGACATCACACAGGGCACAGGGACATCACACAGGGCACAGGGACATCACACAGGGCACAGGGACATCACACAGGGCACAGGGACATCACACAGGGCACAGGGACATCACACAGGGCACAGGGACATCACACAGGGCACAGGGACATCACACAGGGCACAGGGACATCACACAGGGCACAGGGACATCACACAGGGCACAGGGACATCACACAGGGCACAGGGACATCACTCAGGGCATGGGGACAGCACTCAGGGCATGGGGACATCACAGGGACAGGGACAAACACAGAGCATCACTCACGGCATGGGGACATCACACAGGGACAGGGACAGACACAGGGCACGGTGGTGTGGGGACATCACACAGGGCATGGAGACATCACTCAGGGCATGGGGACGGCAGCTCTGCCTGGAGCTGCAGTGCAGAATGGCATGGGGACATCACAGAGGGCACAGGGACATCACTCAGGGCATGGGGACAGTAGCTGTGCCCGGCCCTGCAGTGCAGTGCAGAATGTTTCTGATGCTTCTTTATTATTTATTAACTTTAAAGGATTACTTTCAGTGTGAGTCTAGACACAGGAAACACCCTGAAATACCTTCTAAAACCTGCCAATTATTCTGTAATTATTTTAATGTTATGAATGGTTCTATTTTGGTAGTTTTTTTGATTAGGTTTTTTTTCAGGGAGACTCTCTTGCAGTAGTTTTTGCCTTGCTAATTCTCCCTGGTCTCTTCCTTTTTTCTAGTGCTTCAGGGCTGAGCTGAGCAGTTTTGCTGTCAGCCACCAGACCTCTGTCACCTGCTGCCATGCAGAATGACAGCCACCTGTAACTCAGCTGCTCAGGAATCCCCCCAAAAGCTCTGTGGGAAAGGTGCCCTGTGCCCAAAATCCCTGGAGGACAAAAAAGGAGAACGTTCAGAGGGAGGAGGAGCTGGTGAGAGGCAGCGCTGACCTGGGTGTGTGACAGCAGCACTGGGGAGTGGAAGATGGTCCAGATGACGCTCTCGGAGCAGGGCGGGGTGGTCAGGGAGCCCTGGTACCTGTAGAAGTGTGAGAGGTTTTCTGGCAGCATGGCTTGGATGTCCAGAGAGCTCAGCGTTGTTGACTGACCTCCAAAGGAAGCAGAGATGGTACCAGCACTTAATGGGGAGGGGAGGGAGAGGTGGAAGAGCTGGGGCTGGCAAATCTCTGCCCACAGCACTGGCCCATCTCCACTGGTGGAGATGGAGGGGCATGAAAGGCCCTTTCTGGGTCTGGGGTGTGTCACTCAGACAGCTCTGGGTCCTGGGGGTGCTGGGCAGCTGCTCTCAGCACTCTGCCAGTCCCTGGGGTGCTCCAGGAGGCACCAGGGGCTGTGCAGGCTGCAGGAAGCTGATATTTGGTGCTGCACAGACCCCCAGGAATGCATTTATTGCTGCCCTGAGCACCTTCCCCACAGCCCTGGGCTGGAGCTGAGGATGCTCTGCCAGCACAGCAGCAGGAAAATGTCTGTTCCCAGAGCCAGAGTGCACACACAGGCTGGGAGCACGCCAGGGACAGAGATAGGCACTCCCAGGTCTCACCTGCAAACCTGATCCGTGCCAGTTTGGAGATGAATTCACTGTAGTAGGTGTTCTCAAAGTGCCCATCCTAAACACAGCACAGACACTTGATCAAAAGGTGGGACCCACATATGGGAGATACATATATATATATATATTTATATTTATATTTATATTTATATTTATATTTATATTTATATTTATATTTATATTTATATTTATATTTATATTTATATATAAAATACTACTTAAGGGGCAGTTTTCTGGGGCTCCCAGGGGTTGGCTGGTGTTGTGTGAAGCCCAGATGGCCCAGGGGAAGCAGCACAGCCCCCTGAGGAGGTGCCAGACCCCATCTCTTGGGGCAGCTGTACAAACCTGGCCTGGGCTGCTCCTGTCTGAGGGGGGTTCTAGCTCAGCCAGTGCCCCCAGCCTGGGTCACACCTACCGTGTACAGGAAGGCCAGCACAGCCAGCCCCTGGGGCTTGTCTTTGGCTTCTTCAAAGCTGGAGTAGTTAGCAGAGTCGTAGTGGACAATGTGCAGCTGCCAGGAGAGAGATGGGGTCACTTAGCAAGGAGTGATGAATGGCTCCTGCGTGTTTAGAGGGACACACCGAAGGGACAGCCACCACCCCAGTCCGTGCTGTTTGTGCCAGGCCAAAGGGACCTTTGGTCTAACAGGTTTGTGCTGACACACAGGGGAACGCCTCTGAAGGACACGAGTGCTCCTGCCATGGCTTTTCTTGGAGTTTTCTGTGCCAGCACCATCAGGCTCAGCCCTCCCACTGCCCTGCTCCCCCCTTTGCGTCCCTGCAGGCTCTGGGGATGCAGCCCCCCTTTCCACTGTCCTGCTCCCCTCCCTGCAGGCTCTGGGGATGCAGCCCCCCTTTCCACTGTCCTGCTCCCCTCCCTGCAGGCTCTGGGGATGCAGCCCCCCTTTCCCACTGCCCTGCTCCCCTCCCTGCAGGCTCTGGGGATGCAGCCCCCCTTTCCCACTGCCCTGCTCCCCTCCCTGCAGGCTCTGGGGATGCAGCCCCCCTTTCCCACTGCCCTGCTCCCCCCCTTGGCTCCCTGCATGCCCTGGGGATGCAGCCCCCCTTTCCCACTGCCCTGCTCCCCTCCTTGGCTCCCTGCAGGCTCTGGGGATGCAGCCCCCCTTTCCCACTGCCCTGCTCCCCCCCTTGGCTCCCTGCATGCCCTGGGGATGCAGCCCCTTCCCCGAGAGCCCAGAGCCCCCTGCCCCTGCCCCCCAACCTCGGCGAAGTAGCGCATGCCGTCGATGGTGTGCTCGGAGCCGCTGCTCTCCAGGTCCAGCCCGCCCCAGTGCAGGTGCATCTGCACAGCCGTGTAGACACCCGGGAGCCCTCTGGAGATGTTCATGGTGGGTGGCAAATCGATCTGAACTGGAAAATGGCAGGGTTGGGGGCAGCAGGGGTGCAGCCTTGCCCGTCCCTGTGGTGGCACTGTTGTGATGGATCATCCAAGTGTGGGGACACGAGTGTGACTCCATTGTTCTCAGAAGCTGATTTATTATCTTATATATTACATTAAAATACTGCATTAAAACTATACTAAAAGAACAGAGAGAGAAGATGATCAGAAGGCTACAAAGAACAAGAATAGAATAGAATAGAATAGAATAGAATAGAATAGAATAGAATAGAATGCATAACAAAATCCTGTGACTGCTCACAGCCTTGGCACAGGGGGCAGTGATTGATCATCAATTGAAAGCATCCACATGGACCAATGGAAGATGCACCTGTTGCATTCCACAGCAGCAGATAGTTATTGTTTAATTTATTTCCTGAAGCACTCAGCTCTCAGGAGGGGAAAAATCCTAAGAAAGGATTTTTCATAAAATATCATAACTCCAGTGGCACCTCCTGGAAGGAGCAGGCACAGTCACCACCCCGGTGTGGGAGGAAAACAGTGACCTTTAAAGCTGGCTGTGCTTGAAAGCTTTCCTGGGCTCAGGCTGGTGCAGCACACCGGGCACAAGCAGGGCTGGGCATCCCAGCTGTGCCTGCAGACCCTTCTCCCCCTGAGAGCTCTGCCTTGGGCAGCAGGCATTAGTGAAAGCTTTAATGCTCAGCTCAGCACATCTGGCACAGGTCTGTTAACCACTTCCTCTCCAAGGCAGAAAAGGGGAACAGGAATCAACACAGCCAGTGGGCTCAGCTGCTATCACAATTCCCAGTGAGGCCCAGCCATTCTGGGAACGCCCTGTAGGTTTGAAAAGGCTGTGTCAGTGCTGAAGGGTTTGTGGAGACAAACCTCTTCTCTTCTCCTTGCCAAGGAGAAGTCACAAACCCTTTGTCTTGCTGCTAGTTCACTGCCAGAAATCATAGATTATGTTAATAAATCTAGGAGTGCAAGTGAATTGCCTCATCTAAATGAAAGCCCCCAGCATGTTACAAAAACTAGCAACTATCCTTGCAACATGCAGCACAACATATTATTAATTAGTCATAGTTTGGGTTTCTGAGGAGTTTCTTTTGTTTGTGAGCTGTTTATAGGCAGACAAGACGAAAGCATGTTTCCTTTTAATATCCCAAAGGCTCTAGAGTGGGAGGGATAACATAATCTACCTTTTTCATGAGTTCCCTGCTGACTGCCTTCCATAATGAGGGTTATTTACTTCAAGTACCTCACCAGGGTTTCTACTTTCTACAAAACACAGCCAGGGAATTGTGCTGTGAGTTTCTAACAAGCTTAAGGCTCCTCTAAGATATTCTAGGCAAATATTTGCTGCAAGCACAAGGTGGGGAGCAGCCTGGTTTGCTTCTGCTTTTCTCCCACGTGGAGCGTGAGTGGGGAGTGTGACTGCTCCGAGCTGGCAGTGCCTCCCTCCTGCCCTGGCTCTGCCAGGCGTGGAGAATCAGCTGGGCTGAGCAGGGGGAGTGAGCTGAGCCTTCCCCAGAGCTGCTGCCCTGCAGCTTGGCCTCTGGCCATCCCTGCCTGCAGGACAGCAGCACAGCCAGCCTGCCCGGCCCTGCGAGCTAATGGGCACGCTGCAGCTCCCAGTTAAATCTGCTCCTGGAGGAGGATTCACACATGGCTGACATTTAAATCTTGCTTGTCCCTTGTCCTCACTACCAGCTGGAGGACCGACTTTCTTTAAAAGAAAAAGAAAGTGCAAATAGAAAAGGCTTTGTTAAGCCCAGGCTGTCTGTGTGAGCACTCACACCACAGCAAACAGGCATTTTCAGGTGGGATTTTACAGCCCTACAGAAAAAATGAACCTGGTTTCCTGGGTGAGACATTTAGGGTTTGGTTCTGAGAGCCTGTAAGGAGAGTCCTGCTGATAAATCCCTCCCTGTCCCTTTCAGATGTGCTGAGTGCTCTTCCTGAGAGATTCTGCTGCCCTGTCCCATCTCACTGAAGCCAGTAGAAAAGCCCAGCCTGACTCACAGGAGCTGTGAATAGGCACAGTCGTTTGTCTTTGTGCTTTAGGAAACTGCCCCGCTTCAGAAAAGCATTGTTGGGAAGTTAACAAAAGCACGGGCAAATACACACATGCAGTCAAAAAAGCTAAACCTGCAAGAATTAATGTCTAGGCAGGCAGGGCAGTAGTGCTGACAGAGAGCTCCGGGCTGGACGCTGACTTGGTGAGGGCCACACAAAAGGAGCTGGAGTTTTCAGGAGCACAATCACAGCAGTCTTCACTGCTGGCACTTTGTCCCTCAGCCCTCCACTGCCCTGCCCTCACGCCGGGTTCCTCTCTTTGTTGCAGGCAGGAGAAAGAGCTGCTGGGCAGGACCCAGACAGCTTTATGTGCCCAACACCTCCCCAAAGCGCTCACCCTCTCTCCCCTGCAGCCATTAGAAAATTCTCTCACTGCTCATCTGTAGTCCAAAGGCGTTATCCCAGCAGCACCAGCTGATGAATTATTTAGGCAATGAATTACAGATTGCAGCAGGGGGATCTGGGATCTCCTCAATTATAAGCATTGCCCTGGAGCTGTGTAGCCAAAGGCCGGGCTTTTAACATGTGCTGTGCTTCACTCTCCTTTCCTGAGCCCCAAAATTCCAGTCCTCTGGTGAGGGAGGGATCCTCCTCTGTGTTGTACTTAGGGTGACCCACATCCCAGCAAACCTGGCAGGCAAAGGTTCCATTCCTGTCACTTCTGATTCATGCACAGGCCAAAAGATGCATTTTTCTGAAAGCAGAGGAGTCGATGTGCCCCAAATACCACTCACTGCTGCTCTCCTGTTGTCTTGCAGCACATTAAAGGAAAGGATCAATCTGGAATTCTCCAGCTGCATTTTATCCCCTTTTCATGTCCAACAGAGAAAATACCTTGCAGAACCCTAACTGCCTTTATTTGTCTGATTTATTTATGCATTTCTGGAGAGCTTTCCTGCGTGACTGAGGAAAACGGCGACCCTAAGGGAGCAGAATGAAGTGGGATGGCAAAGTAAGGTGAGTTCAAAACAAGGGCACTGTCTGGGGATGCATTTCCACAGCTGAAACAAAAGGTCTGTTCCTGCAGGGCCCTGAGCCTTACCAGAGTGGCCGTTGTTGGTCATCCTGAGCTGGCCCTGCAAGGGCCCATCGTAGCCACCGAGCTCCAGCTGCAGCAGGGGGTTGAACCTCACTTTCCTCCTCTGGATGTCAATGGGGGATTGCTGCTTGCCAGCGCAGTCTGGGAAGTGCTGTGCCCAGTGCTCCTCATCCAGCTCTCCTTCTCCTGGAGGGAGGCAAGGCGGGTGACAGGGGTGTGCTGTTTGCCAGCAGGAAAGGCCAATCTCATTATTGGAACGCCAGGAGCTGCAGCCATAACAGGTTGCTTTGCCTTCCCCAGAGTGAAAATGCACATTATGGTGTCTGCAGGACAACTGTGCTGCAAAGGAAGAAGCCTGCATTGCAGCAGCGGCTCGGTGATGGCTGGAGGCTGAATCCACCAAAAGAGGAGGGTGTTTACATGGAAATGGGGATTTAAATGGGTGCCAGCTGCCAGAGGTGTGGAATTGCCTTCTTAACCAGTGCCGTGAATAGGATCAGGGCAATAGGCAGGAAGGCTCAGCTTGGGATCAGGAACTGACAGCAATTAGCTATTTTTAACTAGGGAGAGAGCAATTGCAATATTGCAACTCTTCAGCAATATCCTTTGTTTTAACTTAGCCCACTGAAGATCATGAAAGGATTAACACCTACTTCAGTGAGCTCTGCAAACAACTCCCTGACACAAATGAAATTTAGATAAAATTTCACCCAAAAAATTATAAATACCTAAATAAGTACTTCTTAGTGCTCTGTACTGCCTGAGATATGACAATAAAATAAGAAGCAGGCAGTATTTAAAGCTTTTCCTTGCAGGATCATCCAAAGGGCAGCTTTTCTTCTAACACATCCTAAAGATTTCCCCCATTGTTTGAACCTCGTTGTGCTGCCAACCCTGACAATGTGTCCTAACCACACAAAGGAGTAAAAAGAGGTGACATTGAGGAGAATCACTTTCATGACACCGAGGCATCAATGAAGTGGAATGAATGAGCTGCCCTGTGACCTCTCACGAAGGGACAGCACAGAAGGGCAGGGAGCCTGTCCAGCAGCAGCAGCAGCCCCAGAGCAGCCCCGTTTTTACCTTGGTATGTCCAGGACACCTCGTGGCAGCGGCTGAGGGGTGCCAGGAGCAGGAGGAGCGCTGCCATCAGCATGTCTGTGTGGTACCTGCAGCAAGAGAGGGGGACTGGTTAAAAACCCCTCAGAAAGCCCAAATGCTGGTTTTATCCCGTGCCAGCAGCCCTCCTGCCCCTCTCCTCCCCCAGCCCCAGCAGGACAGTCAGGTTGGCTCTGTGGCCCTTTGGCTAAGCTGTCCCCATGAGGGGACAGGTCCCCCCAGGGCCAGCGCTGATGGCCTCGGGTCTGTGTGACCCCGGCACGGCTCTTCCTGTGCATTCATTCCTCATGAATGGGTTGAAAAGCTGCTCGCTGCACGTGGGGGTACAACAGGGCTTTGTAAGCAGGAACAGCCAGCCCAGCCTCAGCTGCTCCCCTCTGCAGAGCAAGGACCACGGCAGAGGGCACGCACAGCGCTGCCTTTCAGAAGGGCACAGCACTCACAACCCTGCTAGAAGTCAAACCTGCAGACACTGTGCTCCTCTGAAAAGTGGAGACGGGGTTTAAAAGCACTCCACACCCCTGAGCCTTAGCATTCAAAGCATTTTGCTTTCCACACCTTCCCCCATCACTGAAAATCTATGGGAGAGAGATTTTCAATGGGAGAGATTTGAATCCTTTGAAAAATTCAGAGCTCTCAAAAACTACTTGGACTTGAAAGGTGCAGGAGACTGAAACCCTGATGGCTTTTCAAAAAGCATGCAGGAATTCAAATAAAAACTAGCAGGTGGCAGGTGTCTAAATGCTCTTGTGGACTTCTGTATCTCTTCAGACACTTGATTTTCTTAAAAATGTGTCCCAAACAAATACTTGTCTAGGGCCCAGTAAAAGTCATTTGGCAGAACAGGGAGCAGAGGATGGATTCTCTCCCTGCCTTTTTGTATCGTGTCACCAGGCAAATGCCATTCCCTTTGGAAATCCTCCTCCTCCCTCAGGAATGACACACTGCTGGCTGCCCTTTCTTCCCAGCCATGGCGCCCAGCTCCTAACCCCGTGGTGTCAAAACAAAAGGGGAGCAGAATTCTCCCCAGGAATGGAATTTTTACCTTCTATGGAAAGGAACTAGAGATTCCAACAAAAGCAGCACAGCTGGGCTGTTGGTTTTAGGTGACAGGCAGCAATATTAAACACGAGGCAAGAAGGCTCAGATCAGTGAAATCTCAGCACTTCTGTTCCCAGCGTCCCTGCCACTTGTAATAAAATTGGCAATTATTTTCAGGAAGGAGGTGATTTTCAGCCACTCAGGAGGTGGCAGCAACTGAGGTGAGTCTGGGGGTGAGGGTCAGGCTGGGCTGCACAGAAGGCAAGACCTGGTGTGGCAGTTTGGGACAGTTTGGGGGGCAGTTTGGGGCCATTTGGGTAGCAGTTTTTGGGGGGCAGTTTGGGCAGGACAGGCCCCAGGATGCTGCAGCACAGGCAGTCTTGCTCGTTCTGTGATTCTATAAATAATAACAGCAGTTCACCAGTAAGAGGCACAGGTGAGCTACAGGTGCCAGGGGAACTCAGGTTTCTGTGCTGAAGAACAGAAGCAGGTATTTGACTCAAAATCTTATTCTTTGCAAGTCAATTGTTAACATAAAAAGGCCTTTCCTGGGTTGCTGGTTTGTGCAGTGCATATTTAATCTTTGGCAACTGCTGTGCCATTGAGCTGATTCACCAAATGTGTTTTTTCCCTCTCTCCTCTGAAGAAGTCATTTATTCTGACGGTTGCACTGAACTGTGTAAGGACCAAACTAAGCAAACCTGCCCTGCAATGCACTTCTTAATCCTTGTGTATCCAGTTGTGTAAATAGGCTTTGGAATTAGCTGAGGGTGAAATTTTGGGGGTTTATACCTCTTTGCACTTCAGGATTCCACACCTCAGCACAGGAGGGTGTGAAGAAGAGTCAGGCACAGGGGATGACCTCTGCAATGGAGAGGTGCACTGGAATTCATTTTTAATGGAGCTTTTGCAACATTTGTGACATTTCACTTGACATCAGCAGGGGCTGTGGGTGCTCAGCACACCCAAAACCCACATCTGTGTTAGCTCAAATTCTTGTCTTTAAGGTCCCTTCTAACCCAAACCATTCTGTGATTCTGTGAAGACACAGCAATCCGTGGAAAGGATTTACTAAGGGCACAAAGCATGAATTTGTTTTGGGGTTAGGAAGGAACAATAATTTCAATTAAGTTCTTTAATTTGGATATTGAGCTTCTAACTAGGAGCTGAATGTTATGGAAGTCCTCCCATGTAAGTATTGCCCACATCAACCACTGGTTACTGGTTCTTGGAGCTTTTTTAGTGTATGTGGTATTAAACCTGGCTGGCCTGAGGCTTGTCTTGGTCAGCTCTTTTGCTACCTGGACATCATTTCTGCAGAGAAGAATGGACGTAGTGCCTGGGAGCTCCAGACAGCACAGTGCCTGAGCTGAGCTGGGGCTTCACAGGTGGAGACTGGAACAGGACTCATCCCTGCTCCGAGATTCAGCCAGTGAGGAAATCTGATGTTGTGTGTGTTAGCTGTGAATATTCTTGGCATGATTTCTTCCCAGAGGCAGGGAACTTTCACACAGACCTCAGCTTGCCCCTCCTGCCTCGACTGCAGTAGGAAATAAGCCTTTTATCCCACATTGTTGGCTTCCATGCTCTTCACTTTTATCTCTACAATTTCCCCTGACTCTTTGCCATTTTTTAAATCCTGCTTCTCCCAGGCTATTCTCTCTGTCCTGGCTGGCCTAAAGCTGAGCTCAAGTCTGGCATTCTGAGCATTGGTGGCCACATTAAAACCTTGATGTGGCATTGAAGTAGCTGGCTCAAACCTCAGTGCTCCTTTGACCCAGAACTTGAAAGGGTTAACTCCTCTGCCTCTGAATCAGCAGGAATTCCACAGGGCTTGCAGTAAGAGCTGCATCACTCCCCAGCCCTGCAAACATTTGACCAGGAACAGGCTGTTTGAAGTGAGATGGACAGAGTGCCTTCAATCAGGCCATTCAGGTTTTTCTGAGTGAGTCTAAAACCTCTTCAAACACAGCTCTTTCTGCTGAGGTTGTGCTGGATGAGTGAAGGCATCCAGAGCCTACACACGTTTTATGAAAGGCAAAGATCAGCCAGTGCTGGCAGGCCCAGACCCACGAGGAAAGCTGACAATAGCTGTGCGGATTGAAACACGAGATTCTTTTATTCAACAATTCCTGTAATGTTTCTACATCTTATTTCCAAAACTGGCCCTCTTTTCTTTTATATCTTGCCCAGGCTCTTTTTTTTTTCTTCCCTTTTTGCCCCTGGTTTTCAAGTACATACAGAGATCACAGAGGCAGAAAAGCACTGGAATTCATTTCTCCAGTTCACACAATCCCTTTAGACCTCCTTCATCTTATACAATATTTTGATGTATTTGACTAAATTTAATCACAGAATCAGAATGGTTTGGTTTGGAAGGGACCTTACAGAATATCTAGTCCAACCCTCTGCCATGGGCAGGGACACCTTCTTGCCTTCTTCTGATATAAATTCAGACACCTTTATGATTCTGCTGAAGCTTTGTGGAAGAAATGGGCTTTGAGGCAGTCAGAGACAGACACCAGAGATCTACACCAGTGCTCCTAAAGGCAGGATTTGCCCATTTGAAAGCAGAGAAGTTCCCTCTGCGAATTCCATTTCACGGTCTAACAGATCTCAGCATTAGCTACCTGCACTTCATTGTCAACCTAAATTTTCTTTTGCTCAGTTTCAGCCAATTACTCTTAGTTGTAGCTGTAACCCTTGGATTATCTTAAAACAGTTTTCCCTTTTTAATGTTCACATCACTTCTGGGGTGGTTATCACCTCGCTGCACCATGGGCAGGAGCAGCCTTTCACTGCCATTTCCCCAAGGTGGAGAAAAGGACAATGTGATGCTATAAAAAGGAGAGAACATGGTCAAATAATCCCTCTTCATTTTAATTTCCAGGAAATGTCATTACAGCTATTGTAATGTCTCTTTAGGGCTGCTCTACAGACTTTGCTGAAAGGGGATTTCATGTTCTGCATCTCTGCTTGAGACTTTGGAAGAAAGCAAAGCATGAAGGCAGGATTAGGAAGGGGGAGGCCAGACCTGCCACTCATGGTGTGTGAGGAGCACTGGAATGTGGTCTGAGTGAGGGGATGGAAGGAGCTGTGTGAGACAGAGCCTTGGAGAAAGGTTTCCATCACGCCAGGGCTCTGTGCTGGGCACTGGATGGGACAGAGAAGGAATAACTGGGTGACAAGGCAGCCTGCAGTGTGTGCCAATAGCTGCTCACGGTGTGATTAGTGCTTTATTC